GGCCCACTATGACCAAGTAGTGAACAGCTAATTTAAAATGAGAAGTGAAAAACTGACTTAGTGACCAGTGTGTCATTGGTTCCCTTCTGAGTTTAGCTTTGGTGAAATAACAAAGTAGGTTTCAGACTGGAGCTGACTGAGAAGGCGGAAGAAGTGGAGACGTAATATAAACAATTGTGAACAAGTTTAACCCTAAAGAAAAAAAAATGAAGGACAGGGGAAAGGACGGGATGTGATACTGAAGGAGAATTTTGTTAAAAGCAAGGTAAGTTTAGATATTAATGAGAAGAAATAGGTAGAGGGTAAGCATGATCCGAATACTTGGAGAGGCTATGACCCCAAGTACAAGCAGCAGGATTAGCTCAGTCAGAAGGGGCACCACATCTACTCTAAGAAGAGGGGGAAATGCAAGGAACTGTGTAGAGGCACATGCATGTGGAAATCTGGTCAGTGTGTGCAGACAGCCACTCCCTGGTAGCTTCAATTTCCTTTCTGAAAGAGAAGGCAAAGCCATTTGCTAAGACTGAAAGGCTGGCTTAATTTTTATTCCCAGTATGAAATTCAGTGCCTTGGACACCTATATTTAATAAATGTATATAATAAATAAAATAAAAGCAAACAATTAGTTTCCTTAATTCGGTTGTTCATTAGACTCTATACTCAACTTTTTCCAAATTAGCCACTAGGGGGCATTACTGCTGCCAGTCTTTTCCCCTAAATCTTTTAATATCCTGAAATAGAACAATTATAGAGCAGTGCATGGCATATGTTTATTTTTTTACAGTGTAAAAATTTTATATTTAGAATCAACCTGCTAGACTCTGTTTATTTTTTAAATTATTATTTATATTTTAGAGAGAGGAGAAGGGAAGGAAAAAGAGAAGGAGAGAAACTTCGATATGTGAAGATGTGAGAGAGGAACATCTATCAGTGGCCTTTCATATGCTCCCCAACTAGGGACCTGGTCCACAACCCAGGAATGTGCCTTGACTGGGAATCGATCTGGCAACCTTTCCGTTTGCAGGCTGGCACTCAATCCACTGAGCCTCATCTGCCAAGGCTAGACTCAGTTTAGGTGATCCCAGTTTTGTCAGCAACATGCAAAGCATCATACTCGGGAGCCAGTCAGACATATGCCTTCTTCTCTCCATCAGGCCTGATCAAAGTATTGACCTTGACCATGTTCCTGTCACAGAGCCTCTTCACACCTGTTTGATCTGGTGCTTGTTGACATCCGCAATGAGCACAGATGTATTATTGTTGTCGTCTATCTTCACAGCTGACTTGGTGGTTAGAAGGAACATGACAGTGGCACAGTGGTCAGGCTTGTTTCTCCTGGGGGCGCTGTTCCCAGGATATTTAGGCTGCCTTCTCCACTGCAGTGTCTTGGGCGTTGGAAGGTGAGTGACGTAGGATCTTTTTTTGTGGCCGAGGATGCTCTTCAGAACTGCTTTCTTCACCTTTAAAACCTGTGCTTTAGCTTCAGCTTTGGGAGGGGCAGGGGCTTCCTTCTTCACTTTCCACACCACCTTTGTCAAAGGCCATACTATACGTTTTTCCTCAAAATCTGTCAGCTTTATATACATGTGGATGTGTGTGCGGGTGCACACATGTGCACGTATGCACACATGCTACAGCAGGATGGGGGGCTGCTCTTTCCACCAGCCTCCTGCTGCAATCAAATCATGATGCCCCAGATGCAATACTTACCATTTTGCGGAGGTCAGTTTTTGTAATTTCTCCAGGGCACACAGCAAATACTCAATAGATCTTTCACACTTTCCTATGATTAATAAATTACAAGAGATGGATGAAAAAAATCTCTAAAGCTAATCCTTGGTAACATTTGCCACAGCTTCTTTAAAACTGTTTTTTCCCCCTATACCTCCTCCCCTCCCCCAATTAAATGAGGCAGGTTTGTTAGATTAATTTTAAATTGTTGTGATCTGTTTCTTTAAATCCTCACCCAAGGATATGTTTATTGATTTTAGAGAGAGAGGAAGAAAGAGAGAGAGAAACATTGATGGGTTTCCTCCCAAACCCATATTAGGTGAGTGCGCCATCCAGGGATCAAACCCTCCACCTTTTGGTGTGTGGTACGACGCTCCAACCAACTAAAACACCCAGCAAGGGCAGTTGTAACTCATTTCATAAACTACTTTTTCCCATTTGAGATGCTTCATATATTTTTTCTCGTTCCTCTTCCCTTATTTTTTATTTTATAAATTCATTGGGGTGACACTGGTTAATAGAGCCACGCAGGTTTCAAATGCACATTTGTACAACACATGATCTTTAGGTTGCGTTGTGTGCCCAGTACCCAGAGTCCAATCATCTTCTGTCACCATATATTTGTCCCTGTTTACTTTTTACTACCTGGATATATTTTTATAAAGGAGATTTATCAATCTATAATACATTATGGTTATTCATATTAATATTAATATATAACAGAATAAGCAGCTTATTCTTGGTGTGTTTAGCAATAAGGCTGAAAAATACTTCTTTCCTAGTTTGGTTCTAACAAACTTGGGCCTCTAATGAACAGGCGGAACTGGCAGAATTTTAACTTAAAACAGGGTGCAGAAATTTTCAATACCCCAAAAGAAAAGTAAAAGCAGACAGTTCCTCAAGAGTTTAGTCTTACACAGATCGGCTCAGTTTCAACTAAGGGAAATGAACTTCCACAGTAGGGGAGCTTCCAGTCATACCAACAGGACACATCACACTCCAGCCTGAGAAAAGCTGTTAGTTCAGTCAGATGCCTCGCGGGCTGGAGCTGTGGGGAGGGTGGGAAGCAGGCTGAGGTCATCGGATGACTGCCGGGTGTCAAATATGTGCAGGCATACCTCAGGGGTAATGCAGGTCTGATTCCAGACCACCACAACAAAGCCAGTATCTCGATAAAGTGAACTGCAGTAAAGAAAGATGTAATCTTTGTGCTGGTAAGGGATCTTGTCTTCCATTTGTAAAAAACGCAACACCTGCGTAGTGCAATAGAGCGAAGTGCAGTAAAAAGAGGTATGCTTGTACTTCAACTGGATGAAAAGGGAGCTTAACCCCAAAGCGTCCAAACCTGGTTATGCGAACTAAAGTTTTGTGGGGAACAAACGTAACTCATGGGCCATAAGAGGAGTCTGGGTGATAGAGCTGAAGTAGTCATCAGTCAAATGTAGATACAGTACCACATTGTTTGCAAACTGTTTCAAAAACAAAGTTTCAAGGTTCTTTTGGTTAGTGTTCTAATTGGACAATTATGAGTCACATTTTTAGTACATACTCTATCCCACTAGCTGGTATGGAATTCCATTTTTATTGACAGTTTTCAGAAGCTCTTTGGAGCCAAAGATTTTTATTTTTTAAGTGTTTATAAGAATATTAATAGCAAATTACTCTTCCCTAACCTAATAGAAAAGTTAATATTTCCTAATGAACTGATACCACCTTGAAGAGAAGTTTCTTTCTCAGTAACTATGTAATTCTTTGGCTACATGGACATCCCTGAAATGAGCTTTAAAACTGACATCATTGCCACAGCCCTACTGTATTTTCAATCTATGTCCTCATTCAGAAGACCTGTGCTAAATCCTTAAATGCCCCCCCCGCCCCGCCCCCCGCAAATGATCCAAGTTAAGAGCCTGATTTCATTTACATACACACACTCGCACATCCCAACAACAACACTTCCTTTAAAAAACAGAATGTCACTTCCTCAATCCAGAGGCCAGAAGTCCCTTGGTTCTGATGGGGGAGCCAAGACAGGAAACTCTGGTAAGCTTCTGCCTCCCCCCAAGGCCGGCGCTGGTGCAGCTGATGGAGGGCAGGGTCTCCTCGGAGCTCCCTTGATGCACTGCAGCTGGAAGGCCACAGCTCCCGTCCACGCTTCGGGAATGATCCCGGAGTCTCGCACCGGGAGTCAGTTTAACAAGGGCATTTCATTAGAAGTGAAGAGGGAAAAGATGAAAGACCTTGACACCTTTTAGCGACCTTATTTCCAAACTCCTGCGAGTAGCCCGGGGCGATTTCAGCCAAATCTCAGGAACTGGCATCGGTTTGTACTTTGACCCCGCCTGGAAAGGCATCTTCCAGTTTGGGGGTGGCGACAGACAGCCCTTCTCACCACTCAACCCCAGACTGGACCACCTGCCCCTTGCTGTGGTCCGTGTCTCACCCAGAAGGGAGAGGCTGTCCCAGCAATTTTCAGTAAACACTGTCGGTTAGCACCACCTGGCAACTGAGAACCTTGATCTCTCCCGACCCCAGGACTGCACAACGCAAAACCCGGGCCAGTGACAGCAAACCAAACTGCAGTGTCACCATGGAGGGCTGGGGTTGGGGGATGTATGTGAGAGACATACAGAATAAAGGGAAACAAGGGGGACAAACAAATGAGTCACTAAATGCAAGGGCTGCACATGCCGCTGACGCTGCCCATGATGCAGAGGCTGCGGACTGAAAGGAAGCAGGCGGCCGCCCGGAGGGGCGGGCAGAGAAAGGGAAGGGGGAAAGGGTGCGTGGCGCCTCGCCCTTTGTGGGGCCGGGCCGCGCGGCCGGGGCCCCGGCCCCCTCTCCCGCCCGCTCCCCCGATCCCGTGGGCGGAAGCCGCTCGGGGTTACTCCGGTCCCCCGGCCCCGGGAACCAACTCCGTCGCTCTCCAGAAACAATCAATGCAAACTTCGATACTGTGTGTAGTTTACCAGGAGGCTGGCTGCCGCGGCGCCCGCCGCCGCGCCCGCCCGGCGGGAACGACCTGCAGCCTCCACCTGCCGCCCCGCCCGCCCCGCCCCTCGGCGGCGCACCTGTGACAGGTGTGCAGGTGCCCCGCGCAGACCCGAGCCTCGGGGCGCGCCGGCCGCGCCCGGCCCCCGGGAGGTCGGCGGCCGGCCCTCCGCGCCCGCACGGTCCCTCCCGGAGCCCCCGGCCCCGCGCCAGGCCGCGGTGCGCCCCCGGCCCTTGCCCCCCGCGGCCGCGCCCGCCGCCCGCCGCCCGCCCGCACTCACGTAGCGCCTCAACTTCTTCTCGGGGGGCGATTTTCTCAGCCAGCCGGTGCACACAACGTCGCCGCCGCCGCTCATGCTGCCGGCCGCCGGGAGCCCGTCGCGGGGTCGGACGGACAAGGGCGCGAGCGCGAGCCTCTGGGTCCGCGGGCCGGCGGTGCGCAGCTCGCGAGGGAGGGGAGGGGCCGGGGCGGCCCGCCGGGCGCGGACGAGGAGGCGCGGACCCGGCGGCCGCGCGCGCGCCCGTCCTTCCCGCGCGCGCGCGCACTCGCCTCCCGGCCGCGGAGGGGGCGCCACGGCAGGAAGAGCGGGCGCGCTGGCCACGCCCACAGCGCGCCGCGCCCCCGGCCCGCCGCTCTCGGAGACGCAAACACCCGCTGGCGTCTTTGGACCGCGGAGGCCGCGGTTCCCTGGGAGCTGAAGCCTGCGGCCCGCCGCGTCCTCCCGCCCCATTTTGCTTTATTTCCGAAGCCTCCAGCAGTTCGCGGGGGTGGCGGCCGCGCCTCTGGTGGGAGTGGGGGTGGGGTGAAGGGAAGGGGCTCCGCGCCCTTGGGCGCGAATCGATTTCTCCCAGAGGGTCGCCAGCAAGGGACCCGAGGGCTGCTCGAGTTTCCGATCCATTCCCCGAGTTTCAGGTTTCCGTGGGTCAGGTTCTGGCTGAGATTAGTGATCCGCTTCCCAGCAAGAGTTTAACTCTCGCACCCCTTGGTGGGAGAAAGAAAGAAGAAAACAGACTACTATGTGCTGGGCGCTTTTTCATTCCTTGTTTACGCGATTGTCTTGAGAAATCTACAAATCGGGCGGGCACTATTATTCCCATTTTACAAACAGCTTTAAGTCCCCAAATCTGTGTGACGCAGAGCCAAGTTCCTAATTTTGGTGGAGGTGGTCCTCGTCTGCTTTTTAAAGTGGGGAAATTGCTCTACTGTGTGCAGATCAACTTGGGGGCCTATTATTACCAGCAATTAAAGTCCAGCTGGCCCCTTCACTGCCACTGGGAAATATAATTCAGTAAAAGAAAATGCATGTAAGTTTTCGGAACCAAGGAAGCAAAATGAGTCCATGTGTTTCATAGTAAATCAGAAGGCAAGGAGGTGTAGAGTAAGAAATGGGGGTCAAAATCCCCCAGCGTTCCTAATCATTCACATAGACTAGGAGACCTCTCTGGAGTTCATTTGAAAATTGCAGTATAATGGTACCTCTCACTTCATCTTGGCGAGGTTTACCTGAGATGAAGTATGTGGAACCACACTAGACAAACCCCATATTTCAGGGGGAGAGCAGAAGGGGAAAAAAAACCTTTGGTAGGGCTTCCTTCTCACTCACGCAGTACCTTACAAGCAATATTAAAAGGTAGGTCCTCCCTCCAACTTTTTTGATAAATGAAGAGGAATCCATGCTATCAGTAAGGAAGTGTGTTGCCAGCAAGTGAGTGGGAGAGACAGCATCTTGCACTCCCCAGACAACTTTAAACTAAGGCTATTTTGTTCATTTCCCTGTCTTTTTGCAGCAAAGCTAGTTGTTTCAAACATTTGGTCATCCATCTGGTTTTACAGATCTTGGCTGGGTTGGGAAAAGTTCAATTGGTTTGTAAAAGCTAATCATTTACTATATGTGTAGCTCTTCTAGACACTCTGGGAGGCTCACATCAGCTCCTCTGTACCCCACTTCACTGACTTTCTACACTAGTCAGTGTGCTGTTAGATTGAATATAAAGCCAGAGTTGCCAGGCTATCGCTGGGACCAGACCTCCCCTAGCCTTCCAAGTTAGGGATCCTTAAGCCACATACAAGGACCACCATTTTGCCCTCTGGCTTTGGCTTTAAGTACCTTAAAAAGCTGTGTGGCAAATATCAAAATACTCAAGTCTGCCAAATCAGTCAGGAGGCGGTGACTCTCCACCAAAATAAAGCAGCTTCTGACTTCATTCCCATCTGAGTCATGGTGCCAGGTCTCCGGGGTTGCACTCTGAGAAATCTGGTTTGTTTGCAGCTACCCTAACTTTCTTATGACTAGGCTGCCAGCACCCAGCTGAAGCAGCACATAGAAGGCAGAACTGCTGCTGGAGTCCCTGGCTGCACCCTGGTGTGGCTCCAGTCTTCTGAGCCTGAGGTGTGTGCCAGGCCTGGAAACAGCCCTTGGACAGAACGTTCCTGTCTGGGTCTTTACTAAGTCCTCTCCACTTTTTTTTTTTTTTTTTTTTTTTTAAATAATGCTGCTTGCCTTTGGCTGGGGAGAAATGGAAACAAATAGAGTGATTTATTTACATAGAGCTAAGCGCCATCTATTGGAATCAGTTGGAATAATGCCCCCTACCTCCAACCTGCAAGGACATGCACCACTGGTCTATAATTTAGGCAATTTTGATTTTAAAGACCACGGTATTTCCTAGAGGAATTAATGACTTGCTGCAAGGAAGGTTTTGGGTCATTAATTGTATACTCGTTAAATCCTCAGGAAATGACCATCTTAAAGGGAGGGTTTCTCTGGAGGGAGCAGAAATTAGAGAAATGAACACCTGGGAGAAAAGCACGGGCACCAGGTTTTGCTCCCTCAGCCCCAAAGCCTGGGTTCTAAACCGTGCACTGTGGCTTTGAGTTTCATCAGCGACAGCCTGCACCCGTGCCTGTCTGGGAGTTGAGGGTTGTGGTGAGCCGCAGGCAGGTGCATGGCTGGTGGAACTCTCCCAGGAATGGATTGGAAAGGATGGAAGGAGAGCTGTGTTCAACTGCACATCAGGCTGCTGTGATTAATGCCACCCACGCCAGGCTTGATGTCAGTGATTGGACTGGGGGTGGGGTTGCATGTTTGTGTCCTAGCCCTTCTGCCTTTTCTCCTCTTCAATTTAGTTGACAGGTTAATTTCAGAGCTGAGTGCTGCTTGCCAAGGTCAGTGTGGCCAACTGAATGGAACCACCTCGGATTGGTGGCTTTCATGACACTTGTCTCTCAGGCGTATTGACGCTTGCATTTCTTTAACCCCTGGGTGCTTTGAGCCCTTTTGGTTCCCTCCATCAAATTACTCTGACCTTCCCAAATCAACTTCTGGCATCTGGTTTGGACTGGGATCTGGAAGTGGGCTTGGGGTGTGGTTGAAGACCTAATTGGGTTGGGTTCCCTCCCTGTCTGTGGCTGCTAACAGTCTGTTACTTGACATTACACCCAGTAGGAGACATTTTGGAAGTAAACTTTAGAAAAGGTTGAGCAAGTCCAGCGTTCCAACCTTCCTTTGTAAATAACCAGAACCTGTACCAATTGCTTTGCCAATGTCCCAGAACCTGGGACATTTCTACTGACACTGGTGGTGGTGATGACATCAACATTCGCATATTGTGCTGCCAACTCAGTTATATTCTCCCAAGAACAAAGACTGTCAAGTTCCCTGGGAAAGTGTCTTTGTGCTCTAACCATACTTTGCACAATGGCCCCTTCCTTCACAGAGAGATGGCCTGCCTTGAATTAGATTGTGAAAATATGTTAAGACCTCCTTCCCTAAAACTCACCATCCCTACTCCCCAGCATAGTTTTCTTAGATTTACAATGCGCCCTTATAAATTGGGTTGTCATCCTGGACTGCAAATATTTGTTCCCCTATCTTCCTTCCAGCATGGTGCCAGGCACACATGGATGCTCAGTGAATGTCTGTTGGGAGAATGAAGGAAACAATTCTTAAAGGATAATGAGAACTGTGGACCCCTGGAGCACCACCCTTGAGAATATTATCTGTGAAGGTCCTTATACGTAGTCAGACAGTTTAAACCCACAGGGACTGGCCTGGTGGGGAGGGTAGAGCAGGTGGCGGTAATCCTATGCAGTTTCACTTTAAAAAGTGGTTGAAACCCTTGGACAGTTTCAAGCACAATGACTCCTTAGACCTTTGACTTCTACCCCCAGGCTCTAGAGAGCTAACCCTGTTAATCCTCGGTTTCAGACCGTGACACTGTTGTACGGACTCCCCAGATACCCTCTGCTCTGGGACTAAGATTTAAATCATTTATGGTTTATCTGGTATCTGGTTCCACTGTCACAGTCTTAGAGGAGCTCTAACACTTAAACCCTTGCACCCTCTGACAACACTAGCAAAGCTGGAGAAATCAAGTCCCCTGACTCATGGGGGTCTCATCAGATGGCTGATGAGAAATTCCATTTTCTTCTGCACTGAGTGCATGCACAGTGGCTGTGCATATTTACTAGTCTCTGTTTTGCCAGGGACTCACGGGCCCCTGGAGATCATCTCATCTAACTCTATCAGAACTACCCAAGATGTTTGTCTGACTCATACAGCCAGTAGTGTGCTGGTTAATGTTTAAAAACTGGCTCTCTGGTGGTAGCTTTGATTTGTAGTATGTACAGTTTTTGTGGTGGAAGTACCACACTCCCTCCACCCTTCCCCTTTCCACCAAGTTCAAGTGATCAACTCTGAATACAGAGTTAAGAGATACACAGTTATATAGTATTCCTAACATAAAATAGATACAAATAACAGGGCAGAGATAACAGCAAAGTGTACTAATTAGTAACTGATGAGTTTTAGTTTATTTCCTTTGTTTTTAATATAACTTGAAGCCAGCATTTTTAAGTGCACAATTCAGTGGTCTTTAGTATTTTCACCAAATTGTGCAACTGTCATAGCTAATTTCAGAACATTTTCATCACCCCCCCCCAAAAAAAAACATTTAACAACCAATCCTCACTCCGCAACGCTAACCCCTGGCAACTGTTAATCTAATTCCCGTTTCTATGGATCTGCCAATTCTAGACATTTCATATAATCAGAATCATACAATATATGGTCTCTTGTGTTTGCATTTTTTCACTTTGTACCATGTTTTCAAGGTTCATCCATGTTGTAGCATGTCAATTTTTCATTGTATGGATAAAATTATCCCTTCATCACTTGATAGACATTCCAAAGTTTCCACTTTGTGGCTATTATGAATGATGATATAAACATTCCTGTGCAAGTTTTTGAGTGAACCTACATTTTCAGTACTCTTGGGTGCACACTTAGGAGTCAAATTGCTGTATCATACCATGACTGTGTTGTTTTCTTTTTACAGAACTGTTTTCCACAGTAGTTACATCACCATTTACATTCCTACCAGCAATGTATGAGGGCTCCAATCTGTGCACATCTTCTCCAATACTCGTTATTTTCCTTATGAAATGTTATGTTATTAAATAACATTTAATAATTTATTTTTTAACGACCGGCTTGCAAAATTTTTCACAATTTC